TTTTGTATTTTTGTATTTTTGTATTTTTGTATTTTTGTATTTTTGTATTTTTGTATTTTTGTATTTTTGTATTTTTGTATTTTTGTATTTTTGTAGGGAAACACTGCCGAGCCCGGACCGTTTGATATTCAGCCCGGAAAAGTGGGGCCATGCTAACACAGGTTCTCTTACCTATAAATAGCCGAATTCGTAGTACTAAAACGGGGTCTCGGCGGGCTAAGGTATATACCGTTATATTCGTTAATTAAACCGTAATTAATTCTTCGTAAAGTAAGGTAGCTAGAGTTAATTCTTCGTGAAGGAAGGTTATCTATAATAATAACCTAAACAGCCAGCTTATCTATTTTATCCAGCTCGTTTATAGCCGCCTATAATATCTTTTTCTTAATCTGCCTTAATCGTGTATCGATATCACCCTTAAACTTAGCCGAAATCATAATATATAGATACTCGACCGGGACACTAAGGGACTCCTCTATATCCTCGTTAGTATCTTTATCGTAGATCCGATAGCTCCTATATAGAGCCACGGTTCTAGGCTTATACGTATTAATAGCTATAGTAGTAGGCAGCGTAGGAGGTACTATAGATAGGGGGGTAATAGTGTTATTCTGTTTTTCTGCCTATACTATCTCGAAACCCGAGGGAAGTCTCCGTATACTACTCGCTCCGTAGCCCTTAGCGTGGCTTAAACTCGATATTATAATAGCGCCTTTTAGGCGGCCTTTTCCGCGAATAATTATAGGATCTAGGGGTAGTTAAGGAGGGGAAGGGCCAGGCGTATCTACGCCTTTAGTTACGCTTCCTTCGTTATCGCGATCCCACGCGTTAATCTACTCACGATCCTAACGCTAATAGGGATTAAAAGACCGTATCTTGAGAGGTTCTTTATCGCGTATATAACGGGTAAGTATATAGTGGCAGGGCAGGCCGTGGGTCTTCAGAATAGAGTAAAGCAGGTAATAGCCTATCGCTGGTTATTAGCTCTAAGGCTATTATTATTAGTTATAGCCTCGCTATTCTTTAGGTAGGAGAGGTATTTCGTTACGTTATAGGATCTAGAGAGCCTAGAGGATAAGTTAATGCCGAATAAGACTAAAAAGAAAGCCTTATATAGTAAACGCCACCTTATTCCTTCTCTTACTCCTCTCTAGCATAATCTCCTCCTCTTAGTTCCTCTAATAGAGCCTTAGTTTACGAAAAACTATCGTTAAGTCTCTAGTTAAAGAGTAAAGGAAGGCCTTAAGGCTTACGTGGGAGGACTTAGTAATAGATATAGTTATATAGCTAAAGTAGGGGATCTTATTTAGCTAGCAAAGAACGAACCTCTTTTTCCATAGCGTGATCCAGGTATTTATAGCGTATTTAACGGCGTTTTCTAGGTATATACTATCCTTCTAGAACTCTTTAAGTTACTTATTAAACGTCTCCTCCATACTACTATTAATTAAGACATTCTAGGCCTAAAGGAAGGCAGTAAACTAAGGGTAGCGCTAAACCTAACTATCCGTTATTTTTATTAGCTTTAGGAAGAAGCCCTTAGTCTTAGCTAGGACGTTAGAGTTACTATACTAGCAGTATAGAACGAAGTTAATTAGCCTTAATTTTAGGTTACTTTCCAGGGCTCTAATTAAGGTAAGCTTATAATCTATAATAATATAGCGTGGTAAAGGGTAAGATATACCTAAGAATTAGAAGAAGTAACCTATAGCCTAGCTATATTAAGCCTGCTTTTCCCTGTTTAGAAAAGCATAAGTAACCTAGAATACCTTACGGAAGGGAGTAATGCCGTAGATACTAAGTAAGGGTATATTAAAGCGGTTAGTCTTATAGGTATAGTTAAGTAGGAGGGTATCGGGTATTAGGTGCCTGTAGCAGTGGTTATAATAGGACCCCGGTGTGAACCTATAGGGGTCTAGGCGTGCTTAGTCTAAGACTCCTTAAGGCATAAATAAAGCAGTTATCACACAGTAAATAGAATAGTCCCTTAAAGTAAATAAGGCAGTCCTCGAGGAAGCAAATAAGCAGCCCTTAAGGAGTAGCTAAGACCCCTCGAGGCATAAATAAAGCAGTTATTATATAGTAAATAGAATAGTCCCTCGAAGTAAATAAGGTAGTCCTCGAGGAAGTAAATAAGCAGCCCTTAAGGAGCAGCGGAACGTAGTCTTAAGGAGTAAAGGAGCCTCCCCTTCGAAGAGGGAGGCCAGCGATTAATCTAATTCTTTAGCTACCCCTACACGTTTCCTATCGTGATCCTATTATAATCCTACCTAGTTCCTTACTTAGCCTTACCTTTTTACTCTTTACGACTACCTATTTAATATTTTAATCGCTCTACCCTCTAAGGGCGCGAAGACCGTTAAGGAGAGTCACTAAGATATCTAACTATTATAAAATAAACGATCCTACCTTCGATTTTAATAAGACTACTAGTTAGTTTAAGCGGTAGCTCCGCGATAGCGAGACCGCCTTTATAGAGGACGCCTATAACCCCACCGATAAGGAAGATAACGGGGGTATACCGGGAACTAATACTACTCCTACCTTTACCACCGCACCGGCACCTATTCCTACCCTTATACCTACTCCTATCGCTAGCACCACCTCTACTACTACCTTTACCCCTATCGCTATCCCCGTTCCTCCTATAACTATAATAGGACCCGCGTATAACCCTAACCTGCCCCCGTATACAAACGTTAACCTAGCCATGCTAACGGAGGAATAACTAGACGAACGCGTTAAGTGGATAAAGGCGTAGAACTACCGTAAGCATAAGCTTACTTACCTCGCTAAGCTTAAGGCGGACACTGCTACTATCGCTACCGCCGTTATTAATCCCACTATTATAAGTGGATAAAGACGTAGTGGCACCAGATCGTCAAGACAAAGATCAGACAAAGAGGTCAGTCTAGCGAAACCACGATATATAACCAAAATATAACTAACACCGCTATAACCTTTAGCGAAGAAGTAGATCGGTAGTCACTATTCTGATTAGGGCAGCGTAAGTTAAACTAGAAAGATACCTTAAACGTAGAATAAGCAATTATAAAAAAGGATAATAATTATATATTAATCCCTTAATAGGGATATCTAGCGCCTGTCCTTAATATATATATAGGAGGTAGATCCCGTAGCCTTAAAAAAAGGGGTTATATAACCGTCTACCAAACCACTCTAAAGCCGTATCTACGCGGTTATAATACGGCCCTAGTTATCTCGTTTACGTCCTCGCAGCGTAGATAACTCCTAAAAATAAGCAGATATAAGTAAATAAACTAAGTAAAGAGCTATCGTATACCCTTATTCCTCCAATTACCCCGTCCTCCACGTATATCTAATTAGGGATCCTCTTAGTTCTAGTTCCTCTATATATACTATTCCCTTACTATCTTTATCGGCTATATCCTTAAGATATCCCTTATCTAATCCTCTATATATACCTCTACTTACGCTTTCGTAAAGTCCTTCCTCCGACCACGTAGTCCGGCTTACTAGCCTTTCTAGCCTCTTAATTAGTAGTAGCCTTATCTGCCTTCTATTTAATCCCCGTGTTATAACGAAGCTATCCTTCCTAGGGTATAGTCTGAGGCGGCGGTAGATATAGCGCTCTATTAGCCACTATATTATAGAGGCCTACTCGGTATAGGTTATTAAAGGACTTAACCTATTTTTCCTTAGTATATAGTCTCGGTCTAATAGGACTAACGCGCTTAGCTAAAGGCCGTATATCTACAAGTCTATAGTAAAGCAGGTAATAAGATATCTTTATACCCTTAGCCTAGTACTTCGCCTCCTCTTCCTATTTATCTTAGATATCGTAGCTCCTCTTCTTTAAGACGGTAGCGGGCTTAGTATCGCACGTCAAAATGCACTCTTCTGACTCTCCTGACTTAAGAGAAATCTTCGCGTGTGTGTATTCTGTCAAGTTACAACGTGTGCGAGACCGTTTACCCTATTTTTATAAGGGGCAGTACTCCTCCGGAAGTACTGCTCCATTTAGATCCCATCCGGTATTTTACCGTGGGTCCACCCTTATCATTTCTACCCCCGAGGCCTATATCCACCCCCGAGGCCTATATCCACCCCCGAGGCCTATATCTACCCCCGAGGCTCGTGCCAATACGACACACCCCACTAGTTAGAGCGGATCCACTTTTCCGGGCCGACTAGCCAATCAGAGGCCTCGGTTTAAACCGAACAGCTCTTAATTTTCCCATCGTGAAAAACAGTCTATCGTGAAAACAGTCCATCGAAAACGCTCTTAAAAACGCTCTTAAACCGATCCTTTTAATCGTTCAATTCGATCTTAACTTTCCCGGCTTCTGATTAGTCCGATCAGGTCAATCGCCGCCCGTTTAATCCTATCTCGGGGACGCTCTAGAGGAGCTCCCACAACAACAATAGCGCGTTCAAATCCACCCCCAAATCCACCCCCCGCAGGCGTAGCCGTTAGTTATATCTCCCGCGGGCACAGCCTTTAGTGGGTATCTTTATAATAGTATCTCTGCAGTAATAGTAGTGCCGATACAGCGAGGAGATCTCTCCACGAGGTTCTTCGTAGCAATAGCGATTAGTTCATAGTAATAGCGATAGCATCTCTGTAGTAATAGCAGTGCCGATAGT